ATCGGCTCCTTCACCACCTTCCAGGAGCTTCCATCCAGTAGGGGACACTGGTACGGACAGCACACCCTATTGTTGGTGTAGGAGCCAATGGATTCAGCCTGGGAACCAGGGCCAGAGGCCCCAGAATGAGGTGCTGAGATGGCCTTGACGGATGAGAGAAGGCTAGACCACCCCTGAGTAGTGAGGATGGGCTGCCTTCAGCTTCTTGATTCCTGCCCTTCCCCACCATTTGTCTAGATGACTTTGGCAGGTTCCTCGGCCTCTCTGGATACCAGGGCTGTGAGAGTGCTGCTTTAGAAGCTGGTGGGGAGGACTGAGTGGTCTAATATGCATGATGTGTGTGGACTAGGCCTGCTACATGGTGTCTCCTTCCCTTAGTCCCACATCCACCCCTGCCATTGGATGGGGGCACACTTAGCAAGTGGGTGGGAGATTCACCTGTTGCCCCTGTCTTAGGGACCTGAGGGCAGGGCATTGCCTCATGTCTGGGCGTGCCTGGCTTCCCTTCCTGGAGGGAGCTGGTTCTCAGTCTGGCCAGACTTCCTCCCTCATAAACAGGTTCAGCTGGAGGTGATTTCCCATTTGGGGCAATATATGTATGTAAGAGTCCGTGAGTCATCTGATTGGGGAGTCTAGGGGATCTTGTTTCTGTCATAGTTGGACCAGTCAGGCTGCCATTCACTATCTTTGTTAGGCTTTGTTCTTGAGATGGGCCCTCTCCATGGAGTGGGCAGGATGGCTAGCAGTAGTCCCAGACTTGTGCTCTCTACTTGCTCCCTCTCAGCGCCTGCAGGAAAGACCTCTGCAGGCTTCTGACTGTCCAGAGAACGGCCCCCTCTGGCCAGGTCTGCATCTGAGCACCCTAAGTCAACCTTTCCCTTTTCCTCTCCCCCCACCCCCTTCCTAAGCTCTGGCTGCCCTGAAGATCCCTGCCTCTCAATCCCAGACATCTGCACACTCAAACTCCTATGCTCTCCTGCCCTTTATATCTTTTTTTTTGAGACAGAGCCTTAAGCTATTCCCCTGGGTAGAGTGCCCTGGCATCACAGCTCACAACAACCTCTAACTCCTGGGCTCAAGCGGGTCTCCTGCCTCAGCATCCCAAGTAGCTGGGACCACAGGCACCCGCCACAACGCCTGGCTATTTTTTGGTTGCAGCCATCATTGTTATTTGGCAGGCCTGGGCTGGATTCGAACCCACCACCTTAGGTGTATGTGGCTGGCGCCTTAGCCGCTTGAGCCACAGGCGCCGAGCCCTGCCCTTTATATCTTTTAAGTCCTCCTTGTCATTCAGTGCTTAGCTCCAAGTTCACCTCTTCCAAGAGGCCTTCCCTTGATTCTCCAGGAGAAAGAAACCTCAGCCCCTGAACCCCTCACCCACCCTACAGAGCAGGGTGCTGGCCCTGTATACTGAGGGTGGCAGGTTCAAACCCGGCCCTGCCCAAACTGCAACAAAAAAATAGCTGCATGTTGTAGTGGGCACCTGTAGTCCCAGCTACTCGGGAAGGCTGAGGCAAGAGAATAATAGCCTAGGCCCAGGAGTTGGAGATTGCTGTGAGCTGTGACACCACAGCACTCTACCAAGGGTGATAAGGTGAGACTCTTTCACTATAAAAAAAAAAAAAAGATTGCCCATGTGCTCAGGGGCTCACATCTGTATTTCTAGCAGTGTGGGAGGCCAACCGATTGCTTGAGCTCACTAAGTTCAAGACCAGCCTGAGCAAGAGTGAGACTCCATCTCTAAAAATAACCGGGTGTTGTGGTGGGTGCCTATAGTACCAGCTACTCAGGAGGCTGAGATAAGAGAATCACGTGAGCCCAAGATTTTGAGGTTGCTGTGACCTGTCATGCCACAGCACTCTATACCAAGGATGACAGAGTGAGGAGACTGTCTCAAAAGAAAAAAAAGACTGCCTCTGTGGCTGGCATAGTGGCTCACATCTGTAATCCTTATACTCTGGGAGGCTGAGGCAGGTGGCTTGCTTGAGCTCAAGAGTTCTAGACCACCCTGAGCAACAAACAGTAAGACCCCATCTCTACTAAAAATAGAAAAACTAGCTGGGTGTTGTGGCAGGCGCCTGTAGTCCCAGCTACTCAGGAGGCTGAGGCAAGAGGATCTCTTGAGCCCAAGAGTTTGAGGTTGCTGTGAGCTATGATGCCATGGCACTCTACCGAGGGTGACAAAGTGAGACTCAAAAAAAAAAAAAAAAAAAGACTGCCCACACCTTTCCATTCTGTGGGGCAATTACCTGTTGGAGAATCTCCTTCCCAGTAAACCAGTCTTCTTGAAGGTAGAACCCACTTTTCTTCCTTATTCATCCTCTTGGCCCCAGTGGATGGCTCAGGTCTGTGCACAGAGCAGATCCATTAAATGTGGAAGGAAGGCATAGCACAGTTGCCTGTGAGCAAGGGAAATGCCGAGTTTCCAGAAGCAGATTCCTCTCTTTCGTTCCTGGTCATCCTGACTGTCTCAGGAAGGAGTGGATTGCCCATGGTGTCCACAGAGAGCAGCAGCCCACATCTTTGTCCTGGGGGCCGCATTGGCCGCACTCAGTGGAGTGACCTAGCTCCTCCTGGTCTGAATGGTTTGTGGTGTTCTTAAGCAGGTGCACCTAATACACGCCTCACGACCTACCTGAGATCGGGGGTGGGGGTGCCTGGGAACATGGATCTTACCTCTCCCCCTGTCCCATATTGGCTGAGCATTGGGCCTGAGGAGGCTCAGGTGGGGTGAGAGTAGCTGGACAGGAGGCTGAGGTGATGCTGAGGGCAGCGGGCCGGCCAGCTGCAGGGCCAGGGTGCCACCAGGTGCAGGAAGTTGCTGGTGAGTCTGACAACAGTCACAGGAGGCCATCGGGATAGTTCCTCAGACTTGTGAGGCAGGAAGGGCTGGAAGAGGTGCCACAGAGGATGAGAACAGAGGAGGACTGGAACTGATTGGGGTCTGAATCTAGCTGAGGAAACCCCAAACCCGTGTTCTTGCTCCACCTTGGGACTCAACTTAAGAAGAAGGTGGATGAGGGTCTGTTCCTGTCTGACTCCATTGGCCAGGAGGATTGAGCTGGGGCTGGCGCTTGGGATACAAAGAGAGGTCCCTTTCTGGTGGTTGGGGGTGGGTGCTTCTTCTGGCTGACCCTGCTTAGGTCTTTGTGATGGAGCTGGCAGGGGCTGCAGACTCCCCACATTGGCCAAGCCCCCCATCATAGCATCTACGCGTCTGGGCAGAGAATGCTCCTTCCCTCTCCACCTGACTTTACAGGCTGGGCAGTTGCCTCATCCCCTGCCTCCTGACCTTGGCCGCTCATGCTCCCAGCCCCAAGCAAGTAACAGCCCTCAGACAACACAAGGCCCAATTTAAAGTTCTCTTATGTGATGGTGGTAGAGGCGGGGTTCCCTACAGCTAACAGTGTCCTGTGGTGACAAGGGGCTAGATGAAGGTGTTGGAGCCTCATCTAGCACTGCCTGCCCAGTGGGGTGGTCTTCACTAGAGCAGTAGGCCTCTCTTTGCCTACTTGGGAACCTAACAAGAGGAGGATCCCATTTCCAAGATAGCAGCAGGCTACCCTTAGGGAGGGTTTGGCATTTCCTTGTCCTCACTGTCCAGAGTTCAGAGTATTCCTAGACTCTGGCCTCTGTGACATCACGCACAGGCCTTAGGACCTGCATGCAGCTCACTTCACTTGTGTCCCTCTGGTTTCCTTTTTTTTTTGAGACACAGTCTCACTGTGTCACTCTTGGTAGAGTGCCATGGTGTCATCATAGCTCACAGCAACCTCAAACTCATGGGCTCAAGGGATCCTCCTACATCAGCCTCCCGAGTAGCTGGGACTACAGGCACTCACCACAATGCCTGGCTAGTTTTTCTATTTTTAGTAGAGACAGAGTCTCACTCTTGCTCGGGTTGGCCTTGAACTTCTGAGCTCAAGGGATCCACCTGGCTCGGCCTTCCAGAGTGCAAGGATTACAGACCTGAACCACTTTGCCTGGTCCCTTTCTTTCCTTCGTTTTTTTTTTTAGAGACAGAGTCACTTTGTCACCCTCAGTAGAGTGCTGTGGTGTCACAACACATAGCAACCTCCAGCTCTTGGGGTTAGGTGATTCTCTTGCCTCCGCCTCCTGAGTAGCTAGGAGTACAGGCGCCTGCCACAACACCTGGCTATTTTTTTGTTGCACTTTGGCCGGGGCTGGGTTGAAACCTGCCACACTCGATATATAGGGCCAGCGCTCTACTCACTGAGCCACAGGCGCTGCCCGTCCTTTCTTTCCTTCTTGTCTGCCACACAAGGACTGGGCTGTCCCCCTTGTAAGGTGCTGATGAGGTCAGATGAGCCTGTGACATGTAACACCTGCCGTGCCTCCTGGCACGTAGTAAGGGCTCAAGAAACAGGAGTTGCTGCTGTGCTTACTGTTGGCCAGGTAGATGCCCCTGCCGCAGGCATATAAAAATGACAGCACTCAACCGGCTAAGGCGCCAGCCACGTACACCTAAGGTGGCGGGTTCGAATCCCCAGCCCGGACCCGCCAAACAACAATGACGGCTGCAACCAAAAAATAGCCGGGCGTTGTGGCGGGCGCCTGTGGTCCCAGCTACTTGGGAGGCGGAGGCAGGAGACTCGCTTGAGCCCAGGAGTTGGAGGTTGCTGTGAGCTGTGATGCCACGGCACTCTGCCCAGGGGGACAGCTTGAGGCTCTGTCTCAAAAAAAAAAAAAAAAAAAAAAATGACAGCTCACAGTCATGTGAGGCTTCAGTTTTTGTGTCTCTATCACATCCTTCATGTCATTACATCCTCCGACAACACCAGAGGGAGGCATCAGATTCCCTTTTTGCAGAGGTGGAAACTGAGGCTTGGCAAAGTGAGGTAGTTTATCCAAGGGCACAGACTTGGCTCTCTCTGCCTAGAGCCCCTGGGGAGTCTCTCCCCTCCCAGGAACTTGAATACCAACAAGAGGGGACTGGTTGGCTTGCTGGGTCCTTCACTCTGCACCTTCTGTCCCTGCAGATAAAATACCATGAGGAGTTTGAGAAGAGCCGCATGGGCCCCAGCGGGGGCGAGGGCTTGGAGCCGGAGCGCCGAGACTCCCAGGACAGCAGCAGCTACCGGCGACCCCCGGAGCAGCAGCAGCCCCACCACATCCCGACCAGTGCCCCAGGTGAGTGGGCCAGGGGACACGTGGCCAGGCCAGGACTGGGGTGAGATGGATGTGGGAGAAGCCTCGTCCACACACGCACACGCACACATGCACACACTCCTCTCCCCAGGAAGAGGATTACTGCTCTGAAAATGAGAGTCAGGCCTGTGCTAGGTACACGTGGACATAAGCCTTTGAGAAGTGGGGTTTGAACCAGGTTGGGGGTGGGGAGGAATACATAATAGGGGCTTTGGGGGACTCCAGGAGGTAAAGGACTGGTTCTGAGTCCCAGTGTCCCTTCCTCTAGTTTACCAGCAGCAGCAGCCAGTGGCCCAGTCCTATGGTGGCTACAAGGAGCCAGCAGCCCCTGTCTCCATACAGCGCAGTGCCCCCGGCGGCGGCGGGGTGAGTAGCCCTGGCTGGAGGGGAGAGGCCTAAGGAGGCTGGAGTGGAGTGGGCCTCAGGGAAGGCCCCCTGAACACAGGCCTGAATGATTCTCCTGACCTTTGCCCCTGGCCCTTATTGTCTGTGTGAGTCCCAGGGATCTCTTCTCCTCTGAATGGAGAGGAACTGGAGGGTAGTGGGCAGAGCCTGGCTGGGCAAGTCATCACCCCCTGCCCCAGGCCAGGCTCCGTCATTCCAGTTCTCTGGGAACACACCAAGCCCCTTAGTGCATGGAGCCTTTCTGACCCCGGCCTGCTCCCTGCTTGTCATGAGGATGTCCCTGGTAGTTGTAGGTCTCCACTTGCCCCTGCCTGTCCCAAACCATGTCATATGAAGTGAGTCTCCCTGATGCTTTCTGTCACTTCACGGCACTTTGTCCAGATAAAAAGACTATGTTTGCTAACCTCTCTGTGTGCCCCACTGGACTGGGTTCTGAGTGGGCCGGGCAGCCTTGCTTTGGTTCATTTACTCTGAGCCAACAGAGCAGAACTCATCAACTGTGCTGAATAAATGAATGAGCACAGGTAGGAAGTGGGCGGGATCATGCTTAATGAGTCCTTAGAGTTGAAGTCCTACTACTTGCCCCACTGAGGGGTGTAGCTGAGCTACCCTTACTGAGCTCCTCCATCCTGGGTGCCTAGGACTTCAAAGTAGTTCTTTGTAGAAGTAGAAGAGACAGATACTTAGAGAAACAAAATAGCCTGAGATAAGTGGCCTGCTGTAGCCTCATGCTCTGGGCATGTAAATAAGGGGTGACAGTGCTAGGTAGACCCAAGAGGTCATCTTAGGCTCTGCGCCTATAGCTCAACCAGCTAAGGTGCCAGCCATGTACACCTAAGGTGGTGGGTTCGAATCCCCAGCCCGGACCCGCCAAACAACAATGACGGCTGCAACCAAAAAATAGCCGGGCGTTGTGGCGGGCGCCTGTGGTCCCAGCTACTTGGGAGGCGGAGGCAAGAGACTCGCTTGAGCCCAGAAGTTGGAGGTTGCTGTGAGCTGTAATGCCACGGCACTCTACCCAGGGGGACAGCTTGAGGCTCTGACTCAAAAAAAAAAGAGATCATCTTAAGGATAAAGTTCTGGGGAGGGGTGGGGACCTGCATCCTTAAGGCCACATGTGGTTCTCTAGATTCCCAAGTTTGGACTCCCTTGACTCAATCCAAACTTCACAGAACAGGCCAGATGCAGCAGCTTACGCCTGTAATCTTGGCACTCTGGGATGCAAAGGGGGTGTGGATTGCTTAAGTTCAGGAGTTCAAGACCAGCCTGAGCAAGAATGAGACCCCATCCACACTAAAAATAGAAAAACTAGGCTCAGCGCCTGTAGCTCAAGCAGCTAAGGTGCCAGCCACATAACACCAGAGCTGGCGGGTTCGAATCCAGCCCGGGCCCGCCAAACAACCATGACAACTACAACCAAAAAATAGCTGGGTGTTGTGGCGGGTGCCTATAGTCCCAGCTACTTGGGAGGCAGAGGCAAGAGAATTGCTTAAGTCCAAGAGTTTGAGGTTGCTGTGAACTGTGATGCCACATACTCTACTCAGGGCTACCGCTTGAGACTCTGCCTCAAATAAATAAATAAATAAATAAATAAAGGGTGGCGCCTGTGGCTCGGTAGGTAGGGCGCAGGCCCCATATACCGAGGGTGGTGGGTTCGAACCTGGCCCCGGCCAAACTTCAACAAAAAAATAGCCAGGCATTGTGGCAGCCCCTTGTAGTCCCAGCTGCTTGGGAGGCTGAGGCAAGAGGATCACTTAAGCCCAAGAGTTTGAAGTTGCTGTGAGCTATGCTGAGGCCATGGCACTGTACCCATGGTGACAGAGTGAGATTCTGTCTTTAAAAAAAAAAAAAATCCCTTTGTTAAAGGATTTGTCTTATAAAATTTGGATTCAGTCAAAAGTCCATACTCAAGGATCTAGAAGGCCACTTATGGCCCTAAGGCCTCATGTTCCTTACTCCACCTTCCCGCCTTCTGGGAGCTTTCATTCCAGTCAGGGAGACAAAGAAAAATGCAATAAATAAGCACAAGTCCATAATGTAAGAGAGCAGCAGGGTCAAGACATGACATTTGAGCAAAGTCCTCAATCAAGTGAAGGAGTGAGTGGTGCAAGGAGAACAGCAAGCACAAAGGCCCTGAGGCAGCAGGAATATTCTAGAAAAGTTCTTGGACTAGCAGGAAGGCCAGGGTGACTAGTGAGGGAAAACAGGTAGGAGGTTAGATAGGGCAAGGACTTATAGGTCATAGGAAGGCCTTGGGGACTGGTGATCTGTGCAGCGTGACGGAGTTTGACGTAGGTTTTTAGCAGATGGCTCTGGCAGCTGTGTTGTGAAGAGGCAGAAGTTGAGGGGAAGCAGGAGACGTGTTGGGAGCCTGTGGCCAGGTGCAGATAGAGGTGGAGTTGGAGATGAAATCAGCCAAGTTCACTCCATGAGGACTGTGACCTCTCATCCCACAAGGCTGTGGGTTTCAGTGTCCTGTGGAGTCTCAGAGACAAGTTGATGTCAAGGGCAGGTCAGGTCAGATGAAGTTAGAATGTCGTTGCCCACCTTGGGGACCATGAGTGGTTTCACCTACCTTTACTGGATATTACCTAGAACTGGGCTTAAGCAGAAGGTTCTGGCTGAGATTTGAAAGGTGGAACCTGATAGATACCTCTTATGTTCCCCAAAGATTTTTCTCCCAAGGTTTTTGTCCTGAACTTAGGAGTCTTATTCCAGATTTATCATGGCTTCAAAAAGAAAATACTGGTGCTTATAAATAATGCAAATAATAGCATACAGGATATGTCCTATTCAGACACAGCCTGTCTTCGTCTTCTCTTTTTTTTTTTTTTGAGACAGAGTCTACTCTGTTGCCCTGGTAGAGTGCCATGGCCTCATCATACTTCACAGAAACCTCAAACTCTTGGGCTCAAGAGATCCTTTTGCCTCAGCCTCCCAATTACCTGGGACTACAGGTTCCTTGCCATGATGCCTGGATAGTTTTTTTATTTATTTAATTTTTTTTTGAGACAGAGCCTTAAGCTGTCCCCCTGGGTGGAGTGCTGTGGCATCACAGCTCACAGCAACCTCCAATTCCTGGGCTCAAGCAAGTCTCCTGCCTCCGCCTCCCAAGTAGCTGGGACCATAGGC